ATTAAATTAAATTAATCAATATTTTTAAAATCATTATTGATGGCATTAACATTATTACATATGAATATAAAAGCATGTGTAATAAAAAATAATTAAAAATTTACTTTAATATTACATTATCATAGTTAATGTTATTTTATATAAATTTATATTTTTGTATATTTAATTTTCAAATAAAACATCTCTCTTTTAATATAAATTTTTAAAAAAATTATTTTAATATATTTTTTTATAATTAAATAAAATAAATTTCAAATAAAAAGTTAAAATAAAAAACATTGAAAATGACGCATCCAACGATATTTTGCGGTTGGACCAAAAGTGTCAGGAGCTGCATTACTTTTTACTTATTTTAGTATTTTAAAAACTTAAAATATTAAAAGAAAGCTTTTATATAACAAATTTTTTTCAAAATACTCGTTTAATAAAAAAAGAATTATATATATATTAAAAAATATGAAAATAAAACGCCATTATACATGCTCGAAGGATAGCCTCACCTTGCGAGGGAAGGGAACTGTGTTTCACGGTATTAATGCGAAGTGTCAGAGTGCAGCTGGATCAGGTGTTTGCTTCCCGTGGACATTTTTTAATAGAACTCTTTTTTTTTTAATTAATAATTTATTAATCTGAGTAAATTTTTTTTAAATAAAATTTTAATATTTTTTTTGGGTTCCCCCCCCCGTACCAGAGGTCGCCCTCAGAAAAACCGAGACCACACCCGCGGCGCACCTGAAAATAGTGGGTGAATCTCCCAGCGAGGGCAACTGCATTCACAAAGTCTCGAACTCAAAACCTTACTTAAACTGAAACAAACCGCTTACCACTTAATCCAACCCCTCGTTAGTAATAAAATTTTAATTTTGAATCTTATAAATAAAAATAATAAATTGAGAGTTCCTTTTCGAGGTATAATTTGATTTGATTTTAAATTAATAAAAATTTAATGTAATTTTTAAATATTTAAGATTAATATAAAAAAAAACTTGAAAAAAAAAAAGTTGTACCAGATGAACTGTAAAGTGATGTCGAGTGCACATGACGCTTCCCTTTTTCTGATTTCAAAACTGCCCCAGCACTGAAGCACGTCATGGACGTTGTGAGGTATTGATGTTGTGTCAGCGTTCAAGCAGACATGTTTAACTCGTTTCTTCATGTTTTTATTTGCGTCCCAGTCTAACAGTCTCTGAGAACGAGATTTTGCCACTATCTTCATTTCTCACCTGCAAAGTCAACAACTACATTTCCCTTCCTGTTATCTTTGCAACGGCTTTCTAACTAAATAAATGCTGCACCAAAACCGAACCTAGGTACAATAATTCGTCTCTAGATTTGAATATATAAATTTAATTAATTAAAAATTCAACTCTTATTAATTATTTAATAAATTTTTTATTTTTT